AAAAATTGTTTTCATTCGTCGATCGAAAAGAAGAAGCGAACTCACTCTTCATAAGCGTTACATTTGGCTCGCAACTCTATTGCCAGTTGTAAGAATTGTAAAAAAATCAATTCGTGTAAGAACAGAACTTCTGTTTGGCTGAAACGTGCATGCCTCGAACAATCAAGGAACATCCAAGCACTAAATTAACTAAAATATATCACTAGTCTCTAATTAAAAACTAATGTTTTTAGTACCAAGTAACATACTTGTGTTGTGTCGTTGGACTAATGATACAACATCTTTATACGTCAAATATTTGCAAACGAAACTAAATTCAACAATTTTCTTGCAGATGTAACTACGATTTATACCAGACGTGTGGAATTGCATGCAGCTAAACGACACACACACTTGCAGGCGTGCACGTACGTATATACGCGTACGTGTGTACCTCGACGTCGTCTTTCGAGAGACTTTCACTTGCCCTCCGGTTCGGTGTATCGGCGTGCAGAGTTTACAGCCACGTGAGACGGCGTTAAGGATCTTCTTCCTCCTCCCTCCCCCCACCATTTTTTTTTCCGAGCTTGATCCGCTTCTTCCCCGAGGTATATCGTGCTGAATCGAGCTCACACACAAACCACGGCACGGTTCGTCGCTTTTCCACGTAAAGATTTCCTCCGTCCTGAATAGATTCATTTCTTCTTTCGTTAATTGACGACGCAGTACCTGGTGGCGCCTAAGAGAAACGCGTAACTTGTTATTGAAATTGCCTCAATTGGCAATTATGCATTCTTACACTCGTGTAATTATACGAGTTCAATTTTGTTACTTGCAGACTTTGTTTCTGAAGAGAAGAGAAGAGAAGAGAATATAGTATAACGGAATGATATCAAAATTCAACGGAACATCTCCGGCGAACAGTACATTCTTAAATTACTAGTTTCATCTTCAATCTAAACTCCTCTTTTAACAGATAAAACAGTCTTTAATCTATCGAAGAAGATAAGGCTTTAATATAGAATTCGAGTAGATTTTATAATATAAATCTTTTCACACACACACACACACACACACACACACAGTTTTGTCGAGTTGAAGAAATTTTCGGCGAAGAACGGAGAAGGACGAATCGAATGGAAAATGAATGAGCTGAAGAAGCAGCCTAAGGTTAAATGTCGATTCAGTGTCATACTACCGTTAAGGTTCGGATTATCGGTAATAACGGTAGAAAGAAGAAGAGGCTGAATCTTTATATCGGGCCAAATCAGACGAAGCTCAAGCGAAATCTCTGGCCGTACGCGCCAGAAACATCAGCGACCGCTTCCGGCCGGTTCCAGGTTCCCTTTCCAGGTGCACTGCGACGTTGCAGCTCGGTGCACCGGGTCAAACAAGAGCATTCGGTGAAGGAAGAGGACAGCTCTCGCGTGGGGAGGATGCGCGGAGAGGCGGTTCCGGCGAAAAAAATTAATTGGGCGGATGTAATCCGATCGATTCCCACGATTCGACTATGCGCCGCCTTTATACACGATGTACGTACGAATCGATCCGGTCCATTATCGTCGATAACCGGTGCACCGATCGTTATATGCTTCTGTCGGTTCTTTTCAGAAACGGCCGATTACTCCTTTTCGATGGTCGACGGACATCCGCGCCTCACAGGATTTTGTTTCGTACACGGCTGGAATTAGGGAGCGGTTACAGGTTACAGACATTGCTGTATCATCTTTTTTTCTCTCTCGGTAATGATTATAATAACGGTGTGTGTTCTCTTGTTCTCTGCAAAATACCGTGCTTGTATACCATTTCCAAAATCTTCTCCCGTTCAACGAAGAGAAAATCGTATTGTCTACAAAGTACATATTTCAACACATCTTTCTGAGTCTATCGAATTTGAAAATTTCTTTTTTCACATTGGTAATGGAATCGTGACTTTCCTAACAGGATATTCCATTCGTAATCGCAAAGTATATAATTCATTATGTTGATCCCACTGTTCATCCGTTGAAATTAAAAGCGATATCAAATCGATCTTCGCGCAGTTCTTTCTCTGCGGAAATTCGTTCGAATTACCCGAACAGAAGCTAAATGCCCCTCGTCTATATACACGTAAATCGTCTATCGCTTTCCCATTTCTAAACCGCCGATGCGGGCATCGATTCGACCCTAATAACCGGAATAATTCCAGCCACCTCGTGAAAGCGACCGCTTAATGCACCTATTTATCGGATTGACTTTTTTCTCTCTCTCTCTCTCTCTCTC